AATTGAATTTCACTCGCGGTCACTTTTTAGCCCTCGTCGAGGGCTTTGAGTGAAACCGACAGTTTTTCCTAAAGGTCAAGCCATTGACCTAAGAGTATGCAAAAAATTAGCCAGATATACTGAGTTTAAGTACCATAAAGTCTGCGTTGAAATGACCCTCTGTTTTTCCCATAAAATACAAAGATTATATAGGGAAATACAACTGGTCAGTTTTGACCCCTTTACGAAGTTTTCCCAGATATGCCGAGTTTTTTTTGACACCCCCAGGCGTTCTCCTACCACCTCACAAAATATCAAGGGGGGTCGTCGGAGGAAATTTTTTTTCGTAATATAGCTCATATAAAGAGAATTTCACTCGCGGTCACTTTTTAGCCCTCGTCGAGGGCTATGAGTGAAACCGACATGTCTGCCCTACGGCCAAGCCATTTACCTATAAGCATGCCAAAACTTAGCCAGATGTAAAGAAGGTAAGTGCCCTAAAATCCGTTTTGAAATGACCCTCTGTTTTCCCCATAAAATACAAAGATTATATAGGGAAATACAACTGGTCAGTTTTGACCCCTTTACGAAGTTTTCCCAGATATGCCGAGTTTTTTGTGACACCCCAAGGCATTCTCCTACCACCTCACAAAATTTCAAGGGGGGTCGTCGTCGAAAAAATTTTTTCGTAATAGAGCTCATATAAAGAGAATTTCACTCGCGGTCACGTTTTAGCCCTCGTCGAGGGCTTTGAGTGAAACTGACAGGTCAGCCGTACGGCCAAGCCATTTACCTATAAACATGCCGAAAATTAGCGAGATGTAAAGAGGGTAAGTGCCCTAAAATCCGTTTTGAAATGACCCTCTGTTTTTCCCATAAAATACAAAGATTATATAGGGAAATACGACTGGTCAGTTTTGACCCACTTCCCGATTTTTCCGAGATATGCCGAGTTTTTTGTGACACCCCTAGGCGTTCTCCTACCACCTCACAAAATTTCAAGGGGGGTCGTCTGAGGAAATTTTTTTTCGTAATAGAGCTCATATAAAGAGAATTTCACTCGCGGTCACCTTTTAGCCCTCGTCGAGGGCTTTTATTCAAACCGACATGTCTGCCCTACGGCCAAGCCATTTACCTATAAGCATGCCAAAACTTAGCCAGATGTAAATAAGGTAAGTGCCCTAAAATCCGTTTTGAAATGACCCTCTGTTTTCCCCATAAAATACAAAGATTATATAGGGAAATACAACTGGTCAGTTTTGACCCCTTTACGAAGTTTTCCCAGATATGCCGAGTTTTTTGTGACACCCCAAGGTGTTCTCCTACCACCTCACAAAATATCAAGGGGGGTCGTTGGAGGAAAAATTTTTTCGTAATAGAGCTCATATAAAGAGAATTTCACTCGCGGTCACGTTTTAGCCCTCGTCGAGGGCTTTGAGTGAAACTGACAGGTCAGCCATACGGCCAAGCCATTTACCTATAAACATGCCGAAAATTAGCGGGATGTAAAGAGGGTAAGTGCCCAAAAATTCGTTTTGAAATGACCCTCTGTTTTTCCCATAAAATACAAAGATTATATAGGGAAATACGACTGGTCAGTTTTGACCCACTTCCCGATTTTTCCGAGATATGCCGAGTTTTTTGTGACACTCCTAGGCGTTCTCCTACCACCTCACAAAATTTCAAGGGGGGTCGTCGGAGGAAATTTTTTTTCGTAATATAGCTCATATAAAGAGAATTTCACTCGCGGTCACGTTTTAGCGTTCGTCGAGGGCTTTGAGTGAAACTGACAGGTCAGCCGTACGGCCACGCCATTTACCTATAAACATGCCTAAAATTAGCCAGATGTAAAGAGGGTAAATGCCCTAAAATCCGTTTTGAAATGACCCTCTGTTTTTCCCATAAAATACAAAGATTATATAGGGAAATACGACTGGTCAGTTTTGACCCACTTCCCGATTTTTCCGAGATATGCCGAGTTTTTTTTGACACCCCTAGTCGTTCTCCTACCACCTCACAAAATTTCAAGGGGGTTCGTCGGAGGATTTTTTTTTCGTAATATAGCCCATATAAGGCGCCGGTCAGTCGAGGTCAGTTTTGACCCCCTCTCCGTAAACTTTTCGGCCAACCGTCACCGGCCCTCGTGTTCTATCGACCCAAGGCACCATCGTGCCAAATTTGACGCGCCTGCGGCGCCGGGAAGTGCCCTATCGGGCACTTGACCACTTTGCTTTATATATATAGATTAGAGTCTCAACGACATAATCAAATGAGAAAAAATCTCTAGCGTTATTATATACCGACACTGTTGATAAGCCACTCAACGACAGTGTCGTTGAGAATAGTGTATGATCGGCTGAACAACGCTACAATAATTGGATAATTTTACAGATTAAAAGTTTTCTAAACTATATAAAGTAAAAGTTATCTTATTTAAAGCTTTACGATTTGTAAAAAGGGAAGACTAATAAGTAAAATTTGCAAGAAATTATAAATCATAACTTATTCCGTCTTGCAGAAACATTTTAAATAAAAAATGAACAACATTTTGCATATTATTTTTCAATTACTGTTAATATAATGTTTAATTATATTTCGAAACCAAATGGATGTATTAGCTCCCTTAATATGTTTAAATAATAAAAATGGGAAATAACAGTTACAAGTAACAATAATTGCGTAAATGCATTCATATTGGAGAATAGTGTGATGGTGCAAGTCAAATGCGTCGCAAGGCAGAAATGTGCTTTTCCCCAGCTCAGTGATTGATTAATTAAAGTTAAAAAATTGACGATCTCGTAAAGGGAGGGATGGGGGTGGTGACACTATTGCAAACTTGCTAACTATATAGACAACAATGATACATCCAACTGAATAATTTACAGAGGAAGAAAAGTTTAGTGGAATATTTTCAATACAAGTAAATCATTGACCAGGGTGGTGTGACACAATGTCTAATTTACTTTTTTTCCACTTGAATTATATGTAGTTTAAGAAAAATATTTAACAATCGACGCTTTTTTTAATAGGAGAAATTGTGTGTTGGGGGATAATTAATAATAGTACCAATTGCATTTACATATATATGTATAAATAAATATATATATCTGTATATATTCAATTGTAACGTTAAACTGTTAAGATGTGGATTATTACATTAGACACATGTTTGACAATTCGCAGCCCCCTTCTTTTGATAAAACAAGTGATGAGTTGATGATACAATTGTCAACAAAGTATGTCTACTGAATATAGTCTGTTATTTTTTAAATTTAATTTCTCATGGTATATGGCGTTGCATAGCCACATTATTTCAACTCAGGAAACTAGCGTTTCATCAAGTTTTACTTTTTATTTATTTTATCATTTTAACTCCAAAATCAAACAACTTCTTCCTTGTAGTTTGTTCTTGGTTGGACAAAACCTATGGAAGTAAATACAAAACAAAAGCAGTCTGAAATCAGAGTCAATGGCTTCAATAGTGCATAACCAGTTGACACATATACTTAATTGTGTAGGAGGAAATCTCTTCCAACACCCACATTAAGAACGAAGAAGAAGAAGACGAAGTTTATCATAGCTCTCATCACTCACACACCTCATTACTTTCTAATTCAATAGCGGCTTTATTTTTCTTACTACTTCAACATAATATTATTATTATAATATTATTATTATTAATGTTGTCTGACACTGACCTTCACCTACCTGGTATGTTCAGACTTTGTAACATCACAAGAGAGTAAAACATACCAGTGTATTCAAAACACATTGGCCTTATTGGAATTTACATACAGAAAGTGTTGCCAGAAAAACAATAACAATAAAAATTGACTTATACTTTAGCCATTTTATTTCTCAAAATTTTCATGTTACAATTTCTAATGATTCACATTAGAATGTACATTACACGGTTGTTTTTTTTTATAGTAAGGAATATAAAATTAAATAAAAACTAGCCAAAAATTACATTATGATGAAACTAAGATACCAAAATGTAACAATTGCAGCTTTAGTCTTTCTTTTCTTCAAATTTATAATTTGTATTCTGTTTTTGTAAAAAAAAAAAATGTTAATTTATGACATTGAAATGTATGGTTAATCTTAAAATTCTATAGCCTATATGAATATGTGAAGAAAATTATTTTATGCTCTTTTCAATCACATAGCATGCAGAGAGGAGTCTGAGATTTGGCATAACGTTTATATTGAGAACATGTTACAAATACATTTAAATAATAATAAAAAAAAAACCTTCATCTATTATACATATTTACCAATAACACAAAAAGAAGTAGGATACATAGAGAAAAAAAATGTACACATGCAGCTGACATAATAGAATAAATTTCTTTTTTACAGAATGTATAATAATTGTCGAGGTATACTTTTTGACAAAAGAATCTTTTCATAATACAAATATAAAAATGTATTAACTATGACCCACAATTGGTTAACCACTAGTTAAAGTTATGTGCAAAGAAAAAATTATAAGAAATTTAATAATAATAATTTGCTATAGATATTGATTGTTTATGCTAATAAACCGGGAGTGATCTCCCCTAACTTTCTCGAATATTCTTATATAAAACAACAGGGGATGGGAACACGGGATATAGTTATGATTTTACTTTCTCGTATATACGAAGTATAGAGAAAGTCTTGTAATCGTGCAAAAAAAAAAACGAGATTGTAAAAATCTCGACGTTTTACACCTCACTGATACGGAAAAACATAGTTTTGCAATCTTGTCCGTATGTCTGTGTGTAAACACGATAACTTGAGTACCGTTACAGCTAGGTTTATGAAATTTCATATATACGTATTTTATAAAAATCAAAGATCCTGATCAACTTTTGAGTGATTTACGATAAACGGAAGTGGTACTTTTTCTACTTTGAACTTTTCAAAAGCCTATAACTTGAGTACTATTTCAGATAGATAAATGAAATTTCACATGTATGTAAAAGATCTAATTCAAATTTTGAGTTATTTCCGTTGACCAAAGTACTAATTTACGCTATTTCCAATTTCTCAAAAAAGGTATATAAATTTATAAAGTACTAATAATATCCCGCACTATTATGCAAATTTTATTAGGCATTCACTTGGTGTGCAATTCTTTGTTTTTACGAGATTCTATTCTATTATAAAAAGTTTAAGTAATTAAAAATGGATTACAAATAGGCCAATTGTCTATGTCCTGAGTTGCCATCCCTCGTAGTTTTATATTAGAATATTCGAGAAAGTTTATTTAATCCATTTTAAATACTTAAACTTTTAAAAATAGAATAAAATCTCATAGGAAAAAGAATTGCGCACCAAGCAAACGCCGAATGAAGATGTTTATAATAGTGCACAATATTATTAGTACTGTATAATTTACATGCGTTTTTTAGTACTTCCGGTAAACAGAAATTTCTCAAAATTTGACTGAAAGTAGAGATATAGATCTTTTACTTACATGTGAAACTTCATTTATCTATCTGAAATAGTACTCAAGTTATAGGCTTTTGAAAAATTCAAAATAGAATAAGTACCACTTCCGGTTATCGGAAATGGCTTAAAAGTTGATATCGATCTACGTTTTTGATTAAATACTTATATTTAAAATATCATTAACCTAGCTGTAACGGTACTCAAGTTATAGTGGTTACACACAAACACACAGACAAGATTGCAAAATTATGTTTTTCCGTATCAGTGAGGTGTAAAATGTTGAGATTTGTAAAAATCTGGATTTTTTTTTTGCACGATTACAAGACTTTATATTTCATATATACGAGAAAGTAAAAAAATGACATTAAATTGGTTTTAAGTCCTGATGAATTTCTTTGGCAATATAAAGTAACTTTAAAAGAAAACATTTCCTTACCAACATCCCATTCCTCTGTCTTACATATAGAATGAATTTTTTTAGAGTATTTAAATTAGATATTTGAGAAATCTTTTGTGAAAAACATCATTTAGACTACGACTTCTAGAAAATCTTTAATGACAAATACCACATTCATGTAGCTTGTCTCCTGAATGAACTTTTTCATGTGCACTTAAATAAGAATGTTGCGAAAAAATTTTATGGGAAAAAAAGTTTATGTTTAGCTAAATAACTATTCTGAGTAATTCATATGAATTTTTTTCTCAAATCTACAAAATTATGTCTTAATCAATCACACTTCCAAGCAAACCTTATAGGACAAACATCACATCCATCATGATTCATGTGGCCTTTCATCTGAATGAATCTTTTTATGTCTTCTTAAAACAGAACTTCGAGAAAACTTTTTATGACAAACATCACATTCATATGGCTTATCTCCTGAATGAACTTTTTTATGTTCTCTTAAAGGAGAACTTTGAGAAAACCTTTTATGACAAACATCACATTCATATGGCTTATCTCCTGAATGAACTTTTTTATGTTCTCTTAAATGAGAACTTTGAGAAAACCTTTTATGACAAACATCACATTCATATGGCTTATCTCCTGAATGAATCTTTTTATGTTTACTTAAACCAGAACTATATTGATATCTTTTAAGACAAACATCACATTCATGTGGCTTATCTCCTGAATGAATCTTTTTATGTTCACTTAAGCTAAAATTTTGAGAAAACCTTTTATGACAAACATCACATTCAAATGGCTTATCTCCAGAACAAACTTTTTTATGTTCTCTAAAATTAGAACTTTGAGAAAACCTTTTATGGCAAAAATCACATTTATGTGGTTGATCTCCTGAATGAACGTTTTCATGTCGTAATAGATGATTCTTTTCCACAAAGTTTTTATGACAAACATCACATTCATGTGCCCTTACTCCTGAATGAATCTTTTTATGTGTTCTTAAATTAAAACTTCGAGAAAACTTTTTATGACAAACATCACATTCATGTGCCCTTACTCCTGAATGAATCTTTTTATGTGTTCTTAAAACAGAACTTCGAGAAAACTTTTTATGACAAACATCACATTCATATGGCTTATCTCCAGAATGAACAATTTTATGTTCTCTTAAATGAGAACTTTTAGAAAACCTTTTATGACAAACATCACATTCAAATGGCTTATCTCCTGAATGAACTTTTTTATGTTCTCTTAAATGAGCACTTTGAGAAAACCTTTTATGACAAACATCACATTCATGTGGCTTATCTCCTGAATGAACTTTTTTATGTTCTCTTAAATGAGAACTTTGAGAAAACCTTTTATGACAAACATCACATTCATGTGGTTTATCACCTGAATGAATCTTTTTATGTGTTCTTAAATTAAAACTTCGAGAAAACTTTTTATGACAAACATCACATTCATGTGATTTATCTCCTGAATGAACTTTTTTATGTCGTAATAGCTCATTCTTATCTGCAAAGTTTTTATGACAAACGTCACAATCATATGGCTTATCTCCTAAATGAATCTTTTTATGTTTACTTAAGTTAGAACTTTGAGAAAACCTTTTAAGACAAACCTCACACTCATATGGCTTATCTTCTGAATGAACATTTTTATGCATATTACTTTTAGAACTTTGAGAAAACTTTTGATGATAATAAACAATCTTATTTTCATTGTCTCTAGACAATTGTAGATTTTCTTCAAGTCCGTTTTCTTGTTTATTCTCAAAAAATAAACATTCTGTTGTGAAATCTTGTTTTAAATTTTCAGTAGCTGATAATTCTGGTTTTAAATTTTCAGATGTTGAAAAATCTGCTAATAATTCTGTTGTGAAATCTTGTTTTAAATTTTCAGTAGCTGATAATTCTGGTTTTAAATTTTCAGATGTTGAAAATTCTGCTAATAATTCTGTTGTGAAATCTTGTTTTAAATTTTCAGTAGCTGATAATTCTGGTTTTAAATTTTCAGATGTTAAAAATTCTGCTAATGCAGCAGGTTTCTTATTAATTTTTTCAATTGAAAATGTAATATCAGGTTTAACATCTTGAGAAGTTTTAAATGACATGTTAGGTTGTATATCCTGGAAATTAAAAAATGGTAAATCTGGTTTTATGTCATTAGAAGAAGAAAATTCTGAATTAACATTAGGTTCAACATCTTGAGAAGTTTTAAATGTCATGTCCGGTTTTATATTCTGAAAATTAAGAAATGACAATAATTCTGTTTTGATGCCAGCAGAAGATGGTTTCAAATCTTCAGAAGATGAAAAATCTGTTAATTCATTTGACTGTATATCTACAGTAGATGAAACTGCAGATAACACATCTGTTTCCACCTCCATGCTGGTTAGCTTCTTAGATATGAACTGATGATTAAAAAAATGTAAATGTTAAACTGGTGATTAAATAGCCAAAACATTTTATTAATAACATGACACAATTTGTAACACATGCCAGACTTTTGTCAGTCTGATTCTAATGATTACTTAGGCAGATGTAATTTTAAAATAGACAACCAGTAATGCAAAGCCATCAGGACTGCAGATTAATATCTTAAGCTACCAGTTTCTTAAAATTATTTTTAAAAATAGGAATACTAGGATATTAATAATAACAAAAATCTAAACTTGATTTGCTTTTGTTAGTTTTTAAATGTAAGTAATGTGTGATTAATCTTATCCAAATATGTATTAAAAGTTTGAAAATCAATTTTAATTTCAGTTCTAAACTGTCATAAACAGCTTAATAAACACTTGCTTTCTTCAGGTAGCTTGGCACTAAATTCCACTTAATGTTTTTTAGTTTTGTGACAATATTTGTATACAATAGGACCTGTAAGTTCTTGTTCTCTCCCACTTAAGTTCAAGTCCTGTTAGCCGGGAAGAGATAAAAAAAATTGGAACTAAGTCAATTGTTGTGAATGGGATTACTGCTGCTCTAATCAACTGGCTTAGCTTTTTTAAACTAAGGAAAGAACACAACACTAATGGTGTCATCTTCCAGTTTTAGAATACAAAGAAATGAACTATTTCATTCAAATTTGATATAGATCTAGATTCTATCAATTTACGTATCAAGACCTACACTATGAATTGTATACTAATAGAGAGGTTGCACACACGTGTTTACATCAGCAGCCATGATGATGCCCTAGCCTAGCACTGGTCTTCTCTATGTATTTCATAGTGCTAGTCTTAAGTTTATTTAAAAAACCTGCAACCAGCAGAACAACAACATTTAAAGAAATTTAAATTATTCAGGAAACTTTTTTTTTGCTTTTTGTCCAGCTGATAGACAATATGAATATAATAAATAACTGAACAAAATGTAAACATCTATCGGAATCTATCCAATCAAAAGTGAAAGCCACAACTCCAGAGAGTCAGACTCAAGAATACCCAAGATTCTAGAATTTAGATTTAGCTGTAAGCTAGATCATTTTAAATACACAAAAATGCACTTAACTTGATTTTACAGATGGACTTGTGATTATTTATGAAGTCATAGCAAGACTAGGGCTAGTAGTTGTGGCCAAAGTAAGATCATTCTTTATTATTTAGATCTAGTAGTTACTATATTTAATTTCTTATATTATATTCTAGTGCCCACTACTACACTTGTAAGCTGTCACACTGTTAAAGTGTTAGATAATCAGTGGATAGATCAAGATGATTAACTCAAGTCACACTACATTAACTATGAAACACCATTTACTTGATGAACACTGTTTAAAATTTTAAAGCATAACTTAAGATCACACAATTGTCCTCTAAATTTACTGGAATCCTAGACTAATACTATAAAATAATGTTAGCACTTATATTTGCTACTCAAAATATTTAGACTACATACTACTATATTTAATAATGGGCCTAAATATGTTTTTAAATTATTCATACCCACTTGACTTACAGCAGACATCAATAATTTTAATTGGTTGAATTATATTTATAATTATATTATAATTTTAGCCACAGCAGGTTAATTAGTACGCCTACTTGATTTATTTTGCAGGTCTGGGTATTCACTGAAAGCATTATAAAAGCCTGTTGTACCATGGATTTTGAGTGACCAAGGTGGACTCATTATTGCCACCTGCTATAATTGTATGGATGGATATGCACAACTTTTTCTAATGTAAAAGTAAAATTAAAAAAAAAAAGAATTAATGAATTGATTTTATTTGTTTTATATTTAAAAATTTACAAACTGAACCTTTAAAAAGTTGAATTGCAACAATAGAAGAAGCATATCTGAATGAACTAAATAAAATAACACTTTGTGTAGGTCAGTGCATTTTTAAATTCAAATAAATGTTCATGTTGACAGCTAATATCCAATGGGTATGTGTTGAGGGTCTGATTACTGCAGCATTGAATATTTGTATTACCTACACCCATATCCATTGGGGTAGTCTTGATTGCCTGATTACAGCTGCACTTGATATTTGTTTAATCAGGAAGACTATGTATGAGATACAAATCTAAAAAATCTACTTGCACTTCTTTATGTATTAAAATCTAGAAGAAGCTAAAACTAATTTTTTTTAAAAATATGCCAAGACTCTAGGCTAAAGTAGGTCTAGATACTTTAAATTTAATTAATCTATGTCAGAGTATGTCTGTCTATCAGCTAGACTCGAGCCTAATGTTAATGGAACCATGTTTAAAAAACAACATAAAAGTAAAGTTTCCCTTTTAAACCTGACGGTCTATGGGGCAAGTGAAGTAGAGTTCACTTGTTTCTGTGTCCTCTGCATAGAAGAGAAAGTGTGGTCAGCACTATGCCCAGCCGCCTTTATTCTCCCTAACGTGAGTTAGGTACCCAACATAATAGCAGTTGAAAAGCCGAGTTTTTAACAGAATCATTTAAGTTTTCCTAATCAGCGTGTGCATTTAATATGGTGTTGTGTTGGCTAATAATGTGTATAATTTGGTTTTAATTTTACTTATAGGTACTGGTAGCCTATGTTATTTTAAATGTGTTGGATCTTTTTAGATATTTCTTTGCTCTGTCACTAATATCGTTCAACAAGTAGTAATGTACATAATGTTTTGACCAATAACTATTTTATAAATTATTTTTATTTGAAAGTATAACAGTAAAAATATATAGGCCTATAATTCTAGTGAAATGGGTACCCAACGTTAGTGTAGTATAATCAACAAGCTACAGCAAACAAAAAGGTAGCTGACATATAATAATCATATAAATGAATAAAATTATATCTATATTCTTGTACATATGCGGTCTTATATAATGATAAAAGTCAAACATATATATTGCAAAGTGCTGCTTTAAATTTGCTAGAGCACTCAGTTAAAAATCCTTTGAAAGTATAAGTTGATATGTTTCAGTGGATCGTTACACAATACAAGTAGGTCTACTATAAGTATTAGCCTATCTACTAGAATTCTACATAATACAACTTTCAATGTATTGAATAATTTTTAGTTAGTGTTTGATTGAACTATTACTGTTATTGTTAATAATAATTAAATAGGCAAAAAAATTAATAAAAGGTTGGTTTTTTTTAACTAGACAGGCCATATAGTTATATACTTTAATACTTAGGCCCTATTAGTTAGTATTTACTTTAGTATTATTTATTAGGATAATAATAGCGTATTTTAAATGAAAGGTTACATTAAAATAATCAATGAATAGACATTGTATAATAGATCTAGTATGGTTACAGAATGTTGGGTTAAAACTTATTTGTAGTATTGTATTAATATTTAATATAGATAAGAGAAGATACCTTCATTAACTAATAGAAGTTGGCCTAGGGCGTAGGCCTATATATTATAAATTGCAAGCTAGTAGACAAAATAAATGTATTCATGTAGGGCATTGTAGGGGACTAGATTTATTTATTATCTAACAAATAAAACCATTATATAATTAACTGTTACTTTATTAGGCCTAATTTAATTCTGGTGTGTTGGTATAAAATAAAGTAGACTTTCAAGTTTCAAACACAAGATGCACATATGTTGTTATCTGAGGTTTGTGGTACTTAAGAAGTACAATTGGTACATGATTTAAACTTTAAACACAAGGAATGTGGTTCAGCATGCCTTATCGGTAGAGCACTACTCTGCTTACCTAGGGGCCTACTGGATCCGATTTTATTTATAATAAATTATTAGTCCCCCTATAAATATAAATGAATAGGGTACTGAATAATTTTCCCGATACCTGTTTCCCTACATATTTCAATTATGCTAGGAACACTAGAGTAGTGTAGTAGGGTAATCTATCGTTTTAGGTACGTAAAATCGCCCACGGCTAGTAATGTACAAAAAAGTTAACTCATTGTCAAGGCTTTAATAGAAGTATATTTGTGTCAAATATTATAGATAGGGCCTAAATGAATAATAAATCTAAATCAATGGCTCAATATATTTGATTATATCAATATAGGCAAGAAATTATCTTTAGACAGCAGTGTTTGCGAGCAGGATTTGCTATATAAAAAGCGGCCATCTGTAAGTTAGAGTGGCTTCCCCTGAATCTTGCGCTATAAGTTTACTAAACTATAAAAAAAAAAAATAAACAAGACGGCTGCCATAGTAAATGAGCATGGTTGCATCTGTTGGAAACATTGCTAGTCTTCATTTATTACTGAAAAGTTTAAATTCAATTGTTTAAAAACAGGTAGGTCTACATAAAATAAATGGGACAAGGGAACATTTTTGTATTTTTTAAAAACATTTGAAGGAATTATTAAAATTTATTAATTTAAGGCATTTTAAAGGAGTCACTGTTTTTCACATTACTAGTCGCGGGTGATTTTACGTACCCAAAACGATAGATTACCATTTGGATCTAGATCTAGTTAAGTACTAGACTATCTAAATGGCATGGTAAATTAGTACTCTAGGCGATCAGCGTAGTCACTTGGACTTGGTTTTCGGTAATCTATCGTTTTGGGTACGTAAAATCGCCCGCGGCTATTTATGTACGAAAACGTTACCTCATTGTCAAGGCTTTAATAGAAGTATTGTGTCATACTTTTGTGTCAAATATTATAGATAAATGAATAATAAACCTAAATCAATGGCTAAATATATCGATATAGGCCAGAAATTAACTTTAAACAGCAGTGTCTGAGAGCAAGATTTGCTATATAAACAGCAGCCATTTGTAAAATAGAGTGGCTTCCCCCTGAATCTGGCGCTAAAAGCTTATAAAAATAAAACTTAGACAAGATGGCTGCTATAGTAAATGAGCATGGTTGCATCTGTTGGAAACATTGCAAGTCTTCATTTATTACGGAAAAGTTTTAATTCAATTGTTTAAAAACAGGTACATAAATGAATCAAGGAAACATTTTTGAATTTTTTAAAACATAAATCCTCCTCAAAATGTGAAATAATTATTAAAATTTAAGGAGTCACCTGTTTTTCACATTACAAATCGCGGGCGATTTTACGTACCCAAAACGATAGATTACCTGGTTTTCTCATCTAGATCTAGATTTCTAGGCCTACTTTTTAATCATGCGCAGCTAGTTGCATATATTTACATTTATTAGCCTATATCAAATTAAAAAAATACCATCTTGACTCTAGATCTAGATCTAATACTAATAGTAATAGTGGACGTAAAGAGTAAAGTGCCTACCTTATTTAAAATATTTAGACTTTCTATTACGGGTCTAGCCCGTAGTGGTGAAACGGAAGTAGACTAGATCTCTAGATCTACTGAAATTTTAATATTGTCCGCGCTGGCGAGAGAAATCCTTCTTTGAGTTTTAAAATGTCAAATATTGATTAAAGATTTAATTTTGTTTTTATTTCCTCAAACAATTTCACAATTATAATATGTAATTTTTTGTATCAAGAAAAAAAATTATTGCACCACAACTGGTTACTATAAAATAAGGGGTCAGTGTTTCTTCCAGACTTTTTTCTCCGGGGGGGGGGGGGCACTTGAAATTTTCGGGGGGCGGTAAACTTTCTTCGGGGGGGGGGGGGGGCGGCGGACACTGTTAAAAGTATATATTATTTTCTATATAAATTATATAAATTTCATCTCGTTCGGGGGGGGGGGGGGCGGTAAAAATTTTTCGGGGGGAATTCGCCCCCCCCCCCCCCGAAGAGATGCCTGGAAGAAACTCTGTAATGGGTCATCCATAAATGACTTCACGTTGTTTTTTTTTTGACGATTTTACCTACATGCTACACCCAGCTGTATTTATAACCAAATATGGATAAAAAATGTTAGTTATCTGAGCACAGTTTAAAGCAATCACCGTGGTGGTGACGGAGGGGGGGGGGGGGGGAAGACACTATTAGGTGCCGCACCGAGTGACACCCGACCTCGCTACGCCACTGAACTGATGATATTAATAAGGCACTTTATTATTATGTACTAGCCATCGGTACCTGTTTCACGTGAATTATAGGCCTATATATTTTAAATTGTTGAACTTGTTTAAGAAAAATAATTTATAAAATAGTTATTTGTCAAAACGCAATGTGCATAATTACACGCCGAACGATATTATTGACAAAGCAAAGAAAAAACTAATTAGCTAAAAATCCGACACATTTAACATAACATAGGCACACACTGATTAAGTGACTTAAATGATTCCGTTAAAAACTCGGCTATTCCACGGTATTCTTCTTGTTTTTATAGTGATTTATTTTGATTAGGTTTTTATGAATAGATCTATAGATGGGCATGGGCGGGTGATGAGTACCAACTTCCTTATTTCCGAGTCTAAAGATGTAATACTTGGCTAATAGTTATAACTCAAAGAGTTAAGCATAAAAATATTTTTTTAAATTTTTTAAATCTTCCGTTGCCATGGTGACGGCGGCCATATTAGATTTTATTGACGATTTTTAAATGGAAATAACTCAAAAATGGTTTGTACACATTTCATGAAAACTTAATATATTCTGCAGACACATGTGTTTAAGACTTCTAATGGATTACATTTTCAAAAAAGAAAATTTTTTTTTTTTACTTTTTGTTTTCAAACATCACTGTAAAAATTTCATTATTTCGTCCAATTTTTTCACTATTTCAACAACAAAAATTTTTTTTTACAAAAATTCCAAAAGTGTTCTATCAGTTCTATTTGAATATATATAAAGAGTAACTGGAGCAAATTTAGTTCAGTTCTGATAATTGTTAACAAAGTTATTTCAACAATTGTACAAAAAAAAAACACCAAACTGAGAAAAACGCAAAAAACTAACAAAAAGTTGCAAAAAAATGAAAATGTATCGCTGTATGTCACTAAAATCGACCACATTTATAGCCTGAAGTATGGTGCTGCTGAATATATTCCTTCTGAGCTTGTTCAGCTGTTAGTTTTCTTTTTTTTCTGGCGCTGTTTGTTTTGCCTAGAGCTGTAGTAAAGCGGTTGTCATGGCGTCTTTTCTGGCGTCCTTCACTGGGTCTTCGACTATGGTTTCCTTCTTTTGACAGCAATGCCATAGCATGCCTGGGCCCTAAATTGAATTATGCTATCGCAGAAACAGCAGTATATTTTGCCAATTATGATAAGACTATGTCTTTGTTTATTGTGAAAGGCCTTGTTCTGGATTCTTTTGCAGTTGTATACTTACGGTTTACAACATTTTTATTACTGCCACACCATGCTTGAAGCAAAACCTTTACACATTTTTCATCAATAGTAGCCACTACATCACAGTGGGCGAGGAAATATATTGATAACATCAAGAAGCAAATCACAGTCGACAATAATTCTGCATGGCTGTGGTTTACAATTAGCACTACCAGTACTAGATGTAACAGTGCTTTCTTCTGTCTGTAAAAACTGTGTCTTACATTGCCGCAGTTTCTTAGTAAATGTGCATATTACATCTGCACCAGTGCTTGTCTGAATAGTGCCAGATTGAGTAGAGGTAGCTGCAATCAGTTGCATTCGGACGTGCCCTAGCTTTAGTAAATTAGTTAGATGTGTGTATCTATTTTTAGCGAGTGTTTTGTTCTACCCATTATCGAAAGAGAAACAAATTAAATCGTCTCTCTGCTTATGATAATTCACACAAACTAGTCTAAACTGTTAATAGTATATTTAATTGAAATAATTATATGTTAAAATAATGTAAGTATTTCACAGAAGCTTAGAGAAACAAAACTAGATCAAACTTAGCAACGCGCTGAAACTAAGGGAATGTTTACTTCCGAAGCGAAACGACCAATCGCTAACTAGCTTCCGCAGTTGTATGCCAATGAAAAAATTGAGGTCAAAAATTTGCATACCGGAAAAACCCGACTTAGTAAAATAAACAACTTTATGACGTAGAAAAATAATCACATTAAAATAGGTATTTTGATTGGTCATTTAATTTTAGAACAAATAAAGAAAGGAGGTCACGGCCTTTCCATTGATATCAAACACATTAGGCTTCCGCGAAGCCTAATAGTACTTTTCTAGGTCGAAAAATGGCTATTTTTACCAAAAAATTAAACAAAAGACCCCGTATACACTACATTAAACCCGGTTTTTCATAAATAAATACTGTTTTTAGGGTCATAACATTGTCATTTTTAGATTCAACGATGGTTATTCTGTATAGATCAAGTAAAAATGGGAAATCGATGATTTAGTGGATTTATGACGAAAAGTACACCCGCCCATGTCCTTAAAGCGAAACTGTTAACGATTCCAAATATTAGAAATGTAGGCCTGGAAATATTTAAGTGAATCAATCTTTTCTGAGTAGTTCATTATAAGAGAAGTATTTTTCTTTTAAAAAAAAAGTTAAAACAGTTGATCTGAAATGTAAAATCAATATATTTGTTACAAGATGGACGTTCTGTAAGCTATTATTAACAACGTTCCTCCTATTGTAGTTTTTTTTTTGTTTACTCGTTTATTTCAAAATATCAAATACACTAATTCAAGTTAGGCATATTTGGAAACACAGAAATATGTCAGTTGTGATATGTTACTTATTGTATACAAGAAGATGGTTGACACTAAAATAAAAAGACAGCTGTAGTGTCCTGCTTGGTTCCAGATTTGCTCGCTTGGTTTTGTTTAAAATGGGGCACTGAAAGGATCAAAGCGGATAGGAAAGTCCTCATACCTTTTCAGTTCTTCTGCTCAACAGAGTAGGCCAAAGTTGGCCAAGATTTTAGAAAGAGTACATTGAGCACGCTCATCAGAGTAGGCCAAAGTTGGCCACGATTTTAGAAAGAGTACAGTGGGTACAGATCGGTGCAGTAAAGAAACAAGTTAATAAAAAGTCTAGTGACAATTTAAGCGCAATTTTCTTATGTTATCCATAACAAATTTAAATCGAGATAAATCATATATTCAGCAAATAAATAATGCAACACAAGTAGTTTTAATAATTCAAAACAAAAAAGAAAAAATATTTATTAACGATATTTAAAAAAAATTGCGGACGTGTGGGTTTTTTTTATTTGTCGCGCTCTCTATATTGCTATATAGTACTGTAATGTATTATGTATAATGCAATGTTAAACAAATTTTTGTGACCGAACGAAAGGATATGTTTGAAAACTTTCTTCGGCTATGTTGTTCTAAATTATGGCAGAAATCGATTGGTAAATGTTTCAAGTCACTAAGTGGTCTGGTTGCCGAGATATGGGCCAAAAACTGCATTTTTTCGAGGTTTTTTGGCTTTTTCCAGGAAATCCGGGAAGGAATTCCGGGAATTTTTTTGGCCCACAATCGTCCTCGGAACTTGCTTAGCATATTTGCTTTTGGAACTAGTCCTCGATATTGCTTCGTTGAGGAGGAGATACGACTTAGATACGACTTAAAGCTGCGGACACACATCCAGAAATGACGAGTTAATAATCGCAATTGTCCAGTATGGAAATTGCGCTAAAAAACAACACATTATGACGTATGTAAGTAAAGGGAGACAGTCATGACTTCCTTCCTGGCTCAGCAATTACTCGCTGGCTTCCCTTTGAGGAAAACAACAGCTGGATTGGTCGAGATTATATATGTTTATGTATCAGTTAATAATTCATATTTAGATCTCCGTCCTAGAATTATATGCTTATTTATCAGTTAATAATTCATGTATAGATCTCCGTCCTAGAATGATTGCTTTTACTTTTTAAAGATTATTTGGAACTCATGTATCGTGACATATAAAACACAGCAAATGTAAATAAAAGCCAATGTTAAAAACAAGGTTGCATTAAAATCTGTCTTTCGAGCTAGGAATCCAAAGAAGGCATCAAGAAGCTCATGAATACCACCCTGACATTCCTGGGCCATAGCCATCAACATTCCATCAAACCGTTCTAGATCTGTATATCCTGTCATTTTTAGAAACATCCAGAGAAAAAAAAATAACACTGACAAGTCGCATATCTGAAGCCAAAATTAATTTTTAACCTGCTTGAAGATGGAAAATGTCAACGGCACTGAACAAGTTGAAATTAGAAATCATTGAAAGCTTAATAAGGATAGAAAATAGTTTAAAATATTCCACTAAACTTTTCTTCCTCTGTAAATTATTCAGTTGGATGTATCATTGTTTTTTGTATAGTTAGCAAGTATGCAAATCGTCACCCCCCCCCCCCTCCCTTTACGAGATCGTCAATATGTACTCAATAGACTTTTTAACTTTAATTAATTAATCACTGACCTGAGAAAAGCATATTTCTGCCTCGCGACGCATTACACTTGCACCAT